AAAAATGGCTTCAAATATCTGTGTGGCAGAACCGACCTGAACAGATAAGCCCGTCGGGGAGGTAGTGTAAATTTATTTGTGTTTTTTGGTTTCGTTCTACTTTACATATTGCCGTTCAAAATTACCAATTGCTTGAAGTCTGTAGATCTCTGTAGATCAATTGYTGGTCACGTACTGACTCAAAACACTAAATTGCCGGCAGTCCGAAACGGTTCTTTATCGAGATAGGAACATTGGATTTGGATTTTAGTTTATGTAACCTTGATTTTTATTTAAAATATTCGTCTGCCTGCCATTTAGCTCAATAATATATTTTGAGTTATGYGAGCTCTGTTATTAAAGAGTGTGATAACATGATAAAAAGAAAGTGTTCGCTGCAHAATGTTTTTATAGTAAATCATTATTCGTGTAGGATACATTAGGATSCATTGTATAATACTACTAGGATGAGTTTATGAAAAGTTTCGGACTGCCGGCTATTTAGCATTTTGAGTTATGTGACCGGCTGCGGACATTTAGACACTTCGCAAAATATAATAAAGTATCATTTGCAATCGGCGTTTTACGATATTCGAGATTTTAAAGAGATCGAAGTTATTAGTATAGAGTGAAAAACTCGTGAACTAAAACTGAATAAGAGACTACTAATAAGGTCTGTGTTTAATAATATACTACTTCACGGGCTTTTTGCAATCGCTATAAGTTTAAGGAATAAGTTTAATGACAAGCCTAACCATGAAGATCACTTTAGTCTCTCGTAGATTTATTGGACTGTTGGGGGATTGGCTATTTGCTGAGTTAGAGGTTGAATTGAGTTTGAGTTAGGATTGAGTTAACTAAAGAAATAAAAAAATAATGTATTTATATATTGATAAAAATACATAAACAAAAATAAACATGTATTCACCTAATATAAGCCGAACACTAAGGTCTTCAATTGCAAGTGCTTCAGTTCTAAAGCCGGTTGACTACCATATGTCAAAAAAATACGGCTATCTTTTATTGCTTTATTTAATTTTTTGCTGTAGCTGTACATGCGAAGACTAATTTATGTATCTGATTCACTGATAGCACTTAGAACCGGCTCTCACGTGTTATATTATGATATAAACCAGCATCCTTATTTCATATCACGTAAAATAGACTGGAAATTAATTTTAGCTTGTTTTGTTGTTTTTTTTTTGTTGTTTTGTTTTTTTGTTTTTTTCCCCCCCCAATGCTGAAAAAGTCATGGCAATATTCCTTTGAAATGATAGAGGACCTTTGTACAGCTCTGGGCGTCACGCTACTGACCTGTGCACGTGGCATCACGCTAAACTCATACCGTAMGTTCTGGTCGGGAATACGTATAACCCACTGTCCCGAAAACATCATACATCATGTTCAATTTAGATTTAGATAGGGGACGCCAACTAACGTTATGTCCACGTTCTAATCTATTCTATTCTATGTACATAGTATTGATGTTATAAAGATGCATGTATTTGCCACACAGTATTTTCAAAATAAAGACCGTTTAGTAAAGTATAAAGACTGAATTGTCGACAATCGATAACACCATCCCTCCTGAAAAAAAAATTACTGTATGGAACGTTTGAAGAAAAAGAGGAAAGCTCGAACAGATGTTGAATAGGCAATCCAAAATATTAGCAAGTAAAGAAGAAGACATGATTCTGAAAATGTCGAACGGTTAAGTTGTCGTTGGCTGATCCACGAGCAAAAGAATTCCACCAGGTAAAGAGTGAGAAGGGCACTCCTATCAGCTGCTTGATGAATCGTTATGTTTTGTTATGGGGACGACAAATATATTACAGAATTTGAATTTTATACTCCTAAACAAAGAGAAAATATGAATTCGGCCAGAGTATCAATTTCATTTAGGGCAACATCTTTTAACCCCCGGGGGGGACTCCCTCATGAAAGGGGGCGGGGGTCCTCGTCGTCCCTTTTAGGGTTAGAAATCAGGGTTTTGGTCCCGCTTAGAGTGATAACGACGAGAATGCGCACCAACTGAAATTTGTGTTCCCTTTTAGGGTATAAGATCTACAAAAAAAGCGATTTGTATATGACGACGTCGTCATAAATTTGTTAGAGTAGACGGCGTTTGATGCAAATAAAATCGAGAAACTGAACAAAAAAACGCGTTATTGATTGGTCCCTCTTAGGGGTGAAATTTCATCACTGCCACACACATCATCCCAATATACAGGTCCCTTTTAGGGGTCATTTTCGGAATTTCCGACCAGGACCCCCGCCCCACTTTTATAAGGGAGTCCTCCCCCATCTTTTAACATTCCATCTGGGACAGGGTTTTTTTTCTTCCTGCTCACACTAGTAGCATTCCAGTTTTAATTGTCCTGTTTCATTTTGAAGTCACAGTATGTTTACGTGGAGGGACAGAATCACCAAGAAACGAATGGAAATTCCAACGAAATATTCTTTCTTTTCAAAAGTTTTGCTTCAAATTTTATAGTTTCCATATAACTCATCCTTCATTCTCAATAGACCTAATCCGCTTGGGCGTAATGTTTTCCCA